CCGTCCGTAAACCTACTACGCCGTAAACTACTACACGTAACATGCTACGGTAAACGGCCTAGCATTCATGTGCCTGTATATCCATGGTGCAGCATCGCGCCGTCTTCCTATCAATCGCCCTTCCGCTTTCATATCATTTTACTTGCGAACAATCGCAAGCAATCGACGCATTCAGCGTACGTCGATGCCACATTGTGAGACGGGCGGCCCGGTGCGGTCTGCCAAGTCGGTGTGTCGAGGCTTATCACGCGCTTAGGTAAGGGTACCTCTTTGGAAAACGCGCTCACGGCAGCGCCTGGCTCAGGGTCGCCGGACAGCCGTCTTGCGAGAAGGTATTGAGTCCGTTACTTCGTTTCCAAGCGATCCACCGGTGCCCAGCTGGCTCTAAGGTCAACAGCAATCACACTGAGTCCAGACGACAACCAGCGTCTTGAGTAGCTTTCCTGCAACGAACTGTGCTCGCGGATCACCCAATAGACGGATTGCGGCCAAAGCGTGAAAGGTCTGGGCAAAATAGGACACTGGACCGCATCGGAGCGGCAACTTCAACTGTACCACAGAAGCTTCAAGTGAACGTACTCCCCTCGCTACTGGTTCTCCTACTGATGGGAAGTGCAGATTGCAACCATCATCCAGCTATTGTCGCGTAGATGAAGCCAGTCATTACTGTCTTAATATCTACGAGAAGCTCCCAGGTACTTAGTAATCAGCCATATGGCAGCGGTAAACGCTTACAATGATACAGCCCCCTCGTGTTAAGGTTTCGCAGAAGCTGCCCTGCTGCTAGAGCCCGCAATCTGTTTCAGAGCTGGACCATCCTCTTTCGGCTCCTTCGCATCGTCAAAGTGATTGTAAGTACGCACAATTCAGTTCGTCGGACTTGAAATGCCGTCTTTGGGACATGTAATCAGCCCGAAGTTGAACGTCGGGGATCCAACCATCCATTACGGCCGTCACTGACGCTCCCGCGGCAGGCTCCCCAACAAGCCAAACTGCCATGGTTGACATCCGCACCTGCCCGTATCAGGGTCCGGTCGGATTGGCGTAGTTGCGTGACGTTCGCATTAGAATGATAAGAGGCCAGCCCGTGAGGCAACCAAAGAGGAAAAAATTGATAGCAGTGACTTTGATGAGGTACATTCGGATATCGCTGAGCATGTGTAGCAATGGTTGCCGTATTGAGCTGCACGTCGGCGGTGGCTGTGCGCTTTTAGGGGATCCATTTGGATACAATCACGGGTGCCGCCTCTGTCCAGCAAGAACGAGATGACAGTGTCCTTAAAATCGAAATATCCGCGAGTAATCCATTCTGTGCCATGTTTCGAATGCTTCGCCTACTCGCGTCTCGGCGGTTAGGCGTTGCTACAAATTTGACTTCAGTTGCTCGCCGTTGCTTCGTAGTGAAATGCAGTGGAACCCACAGACATTGTGGCTTGATCCGAGACAGTAGTGAGCATTTTTAGATAGTTCTTATTAAATAGACTGTCGCCACTAGAGTTGGCCGGATGGGGGAATATTAGAGGGCCCGCTAAACTAGCCCAGGCTCAATGGGTTGTAGCTCGTGCAGTAGTTCAATAAGGGTCAATTCTCTGTTTCGGGGCAAGTATTAGCCCCTAACCCTTGACAAAGTGAAGGAGCTAAGCTAAAGCAGACTCCCTCGTATCCATATTCTCCAGAAACCTACGACATCACTGATTACCATTCTTCAATCTCAAGACATCTCTTTCTTCTTAACAGCTTCCTCAGACATTCACCGATTCATCGCTCCTAGATCCCATGTACTTCCGGCAAGTGCAGTTATGAAAAGCAGTAAACAAAGCTTGTTTCTGGTCGGAAGAGTGTGTTGTGACAGTATCGGTTCTTATATGCGATCTAGTGAAGTTTTAACCGAGATGAGCCCGAGATTAATGTGCATTTGAACAATTAAGGTCGCAAAATCGCAAGAGCTTTTCATAGCGCACAACACTTCTGCTTTTTCTGCTTTTGTCAACAACCTCATGTACTGGCCTCAGCACGTACTGGACCTATCGCCCCCTTCAGCAGGTAAAACAACTGGATTTAACACATTGCGCGACCACCGGTACTGCCGTTTCCATACCATTCTATCATTTTTCATTAAATCCATCGTGACTTCCTCCCTTTTTTTGGAATCGCTCATGGCTAAAGTCTCTTTCGTAACCTAGATGCTGTTTTCCACAACACTGCGAATTGGAAAGGAGAGCCAAAATTGATCAAATAGAAAAACAGCACTTAAGGACCCATTTAAGGCACAGCTATGTTGTCAACGCGTCCAGATCGTGTTGAATTATAATAAATAATACCACGGCTTGAAGATGGTTCAGGACGTCGTGATTTGTGCGCTCCGTCGCGCCGCGGCGATGGCGCTGGCGTTCTGCATGATTTGCTTTAGTTTTGGCCTCTTTGAAACTACCTTTTGTGAACAGAGGATTTCGTAGATAACAAAATCGTGGCACATTTTATGTTTTAATTTGAACAAAGCCTAATTATCACCATTTCACGACCCTAAAAACCCATTCTACACCAGCGTTCACGAGTCGCACGCAAGCGACTCACTCTTGAAATATCTGAGTTGCTTGAAATATGCTCAACAGGGCACATTTGTTGGGGAATCCCCACGTTATTGGAGGGGGTAGTATTTGCGCGCAGGAGGGGGGGGTCCGTATTTAGCTGGGAGAAATTTATTTTGATAGTTGATTTTTCTCGCTTCACGGTACGTTGTCAAGGGAGGGGGTCGTAACTTGTCATTGTTGGAGCCGTCATTCGAGGCCATATCTTACGTTTTGGGTGTTGAAGGAGGTGGTGGTTGGACTTTTTGGTGATTTTCCTGCTGTACATGCGTACTATATGCCCGGGGTCGATTCGATGAGGAACACCAGGGCCGGAGGGAGGGTCGCACCAACCCTCGCAAAAACGGGGGGGGGGTGTCGTACAGCACTCGACCAAAAATCCGCGCAACTAGTGATGAATACCTGTAGCTCTGTATACTCATATCGGCCTCAGGGTGCAGCATCGTGATGTTTGAATGGTACTGTAAATAGGTACGACCCTCCGAGGAGGGTGTCAGTACGGACTCCCCCCCCCCTTCCTCAACACGGTACAATTCCCTTATTTTCCATTATTTTCACCCAGAAATGTTTTCTTCGAAATTTTTGTCTGTGACAGGGACTATATAGCACACATGAAAAGGCAAAATTACGCGAAAAGTCAACAACGGGGAAAAGTTGTTCCCAGCAGCAAATTTCACTCAAACGCATCAGACACACATACGCCCCCTCTCCCAACGACCAAATACGACCCCCTCCCCAGCGGAAGAGGACGACCCCCTATGTGTTTCACACAACGATGCTGTACCCTGAATCGGCTATCCCATCCCATCAAATCATTGTATAGGACAAACGACGACTTGAAAGGCCGCTACGAAACTCAAAGTTCAAAATGAGGGTTACATCCCAAAAGGGGTCGTTCAAAGGTGTCTTGAATGTGCTATCTCAAATGGAATCTTTATCCTTTATGATTGTATTTGCATTGGGACAACATTAAAGGTATCCTTGGGTCTATTGCAGAGCGCTGGAGCTCTCTCTATAGTACGAAGCTAACCATTATCCTGGCGAGAATTCTTAGAACATTTGCCCGTGATGGCTTGAAAGTGCTCATTATGAACTACGTTTCACACGTTGATTGACGATTTCCATGAGAGCCTTCAAATAGATATTAGTGCTATTAGCAACATTCTCACCAATTCATTTCAAATTGCCTTTTTCCAAAGAATTACCATGCGCAATCAACGTCAAAACGATGACCGCGTGGGATATCAGATCTGTTCACCGAAGAAGTTGACAGCTTTTCTGCAAATCGCTACACTTCACTTACACGCTGCTGGAGTTCTAGAGTGCACTTTCGGAATTCTGGAGTGCACTTTCGAGGGCAAAAGTGCTGAGCAGACCTCTTGTAAGGTGAAAACGTGGTTGCGAAAAGGATTTAGTCGCACTCTAGCGAACTTTGGAGAATCCGCATGAAGTGACTCTTTGGTGGGCAGGTGGCGTACAAGAAGGATCACCGGCACCTAAACGCCACATTCCAGGCATAGGGAGCCGTTGGCTGGGTACTTCATTTGAAGAATTTCGCGGTCACATTGTAACGGTACTCATTCTATGGCACCAGCTTAGCCCAAAGTAACTCCCGAGTGAAAGAAAGACAGCGAAAAACTTTTCGGACACACCAAACCCACCCCAACCACAAACCAACACAAATCTGAACAGAACTCCCCCCACCAGTATCATGCTGAGGCCTTGGACGAAACTGTCGAGACGTCGGCAAGCCCATCCAGCCGGGATTCGAGGGGCAATCGATTCCCGGCAATGAGACACAGGTAATCCCTACTTACGCTTCAGGCAACGCTGTGCCACGCACGCATTCGCGGGTAAGCCGTTGTTTGCAGACGTGAAAGTATCATGCGTTGCAATGGTTGCGATAATCACACGTTTCTAGCCTCATTTACTCGCCGTTTCGCAAATGCTGAAAGTAGTATATTCTCTGACGAAATCGCGGATAACGATCATCAAACTGCTCGGCGGGCTTTCGCAGACGCTTGTTTTGCGGAAACTGTCTTTAAACTGTGGCTGATACACTGTGCTTCTCAAGGAGGGAAGTGACAGTTCGAAAAAGCTACCAAAATGACTTTGTCTAGCACATAGCTAGCATTCAACAACTGCCATCAACTGTTGAAATAAGCTATGAATATCCCAACGACTCTAGTTGTTCGAGCCAAAGTACGAAATCAGAAGCCCATTCTATCACTGAGATGTGGAGGTACTTACGCTGCTTCGAATGGTGTTTTTGAGAAATAACACAGGTAAACCTCAAAGTGAGAGTTTAAGACTTGCAGGGCGTACTGATATAGACTCGCTATTGAAAGTACAGTTTGGAACCATCGCGCCGTCCTTTATTCTTGCGTACTCAGTTACTGTCAACGTGAAGGTTTGCATTTGCGTGGCTACTATTTTCCGCTTGCAAATGCCGCCAATGGAATATATGGCCTCAAGTCAGCTTACAATGTACCGCCAATTGACAACAACATCAAAGACACCGGTCACATGGTTGAATTGCAGATGATGTTAGGCTTGGGTGGTTCGTTGATCCTCTTGAGTATTTTTGAAATCAGTATGTCTATCGAGAAATTTCAGCTCGGAAACACGACTATCGAAGGTCGAGGAAGGCGTTTGGTGACCGTAAACCTCGTCAAGCTTACACTTCACAGCAACTGGAGAAGCTGGAATGCGAGTTCCAGGCGAGTCTGAGAGCTCCTTCACACAAACTATAGCCTGAGGCAAAACGACCACTCTCGTATCCAAACAAGCCCAGAAGCGCGGTGGGAAAGTGGACTGACGCCGCGCCAAAACCCGCGCCGCGCTGATACTCTCCGAGCGGTTTCAGTGATATCGAGGCTGCTTTCAACACTGCTTCAGCAGTATATCCAAATCCTTCCTGCTCAAATGCGCGATCAAAGTTTACTCTGATATAGGACAAGGGTCTGGACACACAACCCCTGGACCCTCTTCATTTTTCCCCGCGCCTCCTCTTCACTGTATTGTAAGGAGGAGCGCGCCAATAAGGCACAAGTGCCGAGGATCTCCACCCACTGGCGTGGGATCAACGCGCGTCTAAAAGCTCTAGTTGTCGAAAAAGTGCTTCGCAGGATCATTTTCGACGATTCCTGTGACAAGCATGTTGAATGGTTTGTTTCAGTGTGACAAATACCTTAGCGTACAGAAAAGGATTCATCTGTCCCGCAGCCTGAATCTGACCGAGACCCAGATCAAGACGTGGTTCCAGAATCGGAGGTATGTCTCTCAGCCTTTTGAGCAGGGTTTAGACTTCGGGACGGCGTGCTTCGGCGTGCGTTCGATGCGATCGATGCAGTAGAAAGCATGCGCATCGATCGCGTCAAGTGCGCTACCTTCGCGAAGTCTGAAAGCTGCCTTACTAAAAAAAGCCGCTTCTCTACTGTGATGAATTTCAGGACGAAATGGAAGAAGCAGCTGACAACATCAATCCGACAGCTCTATCGTGATCGGATCATCACCTCCTTAGGTGTACTGCCTGGTCTCGAATCGTCCCTAGCTTCAACTTCATTGACTATAAATCCCAGCGACCTTCCAGCAAATTACCACTGAT